GAAAGTTAAAATGGGGTACTCCTAGGCACTTATACTTCACCCTAGCTTCATCCCCTGAATTTCTGTGGGATCCTAGATATGATAATTAGCTTTTTGTGTCCTAGATCTTTTGTCAGTGGGAGCATGTAACAGTATATGCCACAGCGTTTTATATCTATAAAGCTCTCTAAAAATATTTCTTGGTCACAAACTTGGTCTAGTGTCTTTATTCTACTACCTTGTCCTCTAGATACTGCCCCCCTCCTTGCCCCCACTGCCCTACTCCATTCTGCAAATCTTTTAACTGTCACATACACCCTATCAGGAGTACTTTAAGGTGGGGGAAAAACTACAGTTATCTCATCCACATCTCATGGGTTAAAGGAGTGGTGCTCCTTCAATCTGGAAAATTTGTGTAAAAATTTTTGGTCCTTCCTTCCTACCAGAGAAGTCTGAATTTTTTTTCTTTTTCTTTTTCTTTTTCTTTTATGGATTGTTTACAGTACCTTATTGTAAAATTTGGGTTAAGTAAATATTTATTCATAGGCTCTGTGTCATCTGCTGGCCTTCGAGTGTTGTCTGTGGCTTCCGTAAAACTCCCAAAAAATTCTCATTTAATTTCTTATGCTGACCCACCATATATTAAAACCATGATGGGGAAAGTCTTGATGTGGAAGGCATAACTGTGTTTCCTTCCATCTCCACAAAGAACCTTAATCATAAACTCAAAGATTTGGGGATGGAAGGGGCTACCCAACTATCTGATTTTACAAATAAAAGAATCCAAGGCCTGAGAAGTAATTGTTTCCAGCTCTTTCCTTTTTCTTAAAATACATTTTTTCCCATTTAATAAGAATTTATTTATTTATTTGGTGAAGCCAATTGGGATTAAGTGACTTGCCCAGAGTCACACAGCTAGTGAGTGTTATGTGTCTGAGGCTGGATGTGAACTCAAGTCCTCCTGACTCCAGGGTCAGTGCTCTATCCACTTCACCACCTAGCTGCCCCCTAAGCGCTTACTTTTTCTCCCTTCTCCTCCCCACCCCCCACCACCATTGGAAAAAGAAAAACAAAATCCTGTAAGATAATCATAACTGAGTAAATTAAATTTTCATTTCACAGGGAAGATTTGAACCCCCATCCCCTGACCCCAAATCCAGCCCTTAACGTACTGTGCCATACTGCCTCCCTAGAATGGAGTTCCTTACTTGAGTTAAAAAAGATTCTCTTCAGAACTGGTATTTGTTGGGCCTGTGAGATGTAGATTATAACCACTTTCACATGAAATATCTTTTTTGCCAGCTGTTGGGTAAATGGAGAGGGGAGCTGTTGAGGAGGGGAAGAGAAACCCTTGAGGAGTGTGTGCAGTAAACGCTGAGTCATAATTCCAGAAGCTTCTTGTGCTGCTTGAGACATAAAACCACCCCAAACCAAGGGAAACCGTGGGTAGTTTTAAGTGGGTTTTCTCAGAACTTGGGCTCTTTGTCCCTGTCTATCAACCCTTCTCCTTTCTCCGCCCTCCCCCACAGAACACTAGGGCTGGAAATGAAAGCTGGAACATCTATTTAGGCTTTGAGTCTTTTGGCTTCAACTGGACTGAGCTATGGCTTTAGCGCTGGCTATCCAGGGCTTAATTGACATTAGCTCCATACGTTTAGATAATTACTATTGCAACACAGTGGGACTTGTGGTACTTAAGGCCTCAGTTAGGGCATAATGTACCAGGCTGCCTCCCCTGAACGTGCCAGACTCTAGCATAGCATTTCTTCACTCAGCAGGAAGCACCCTTGCTGCGGTTTCAGATCTGCCCTGTAAGTATTATACTGTAAAGTACCACATAATAAAAACAATCATAATTGCTAATGATGCCTGAATTACCCACACATCTAATATCTCCACGGCTTCTTGGTTGTTGGGTCAAAAGGTACCCAGAACCCTGACCCTGAAAACATATTTCACATCTTGGGAAAGTTTCATTTCTTATAAGCTATTGCGAACATAATATTGCTGAATAGAGCAGAATTTCTAAGGCTAGGTTTGTGGTATGGATTCCGATGGCTTCACAGCAGTTTGAGTCTCTAAGGACTGGTGCCAATAAATGTGAAAGGGACCAAGGTAGATTGGCATACTTTTCCATTTCCACCAGTTTGAAAAAAAAAAGCTGTAAATTAAGTCTAACCTTAAATGTATAATCTGTCCTTGGGAAGAAAAAAAAAGAATATAGCATCTTCAAGCTCTCAGCATCCCTTACGAGAAAAAATTGGTTCTAAGGGTCTCTGATCTTGTGTTTTAGTAAAATAGAACCGCACGGCTGAGTGACAGTTCTGATCTAAAGCATTTACGTTTAAGTTTTGATCTCTCTGCTTTTGATTAAAACTAATGAGCTCATTTAATTCAAAATGGGAATCTCTGATAAGAGAAATAAGGTTGATGTGATTGGATTAGAGGGGCAAATTAAACTCTTAGAGCAGAAGTTTGTGCTTATATAGTGTATTAAAAAGCTGTTGGCGTATTATGGCGTGTTAGATGATGAGAAAAATTTCATAGTAATTCATATTTAATCAGAAGAAATGAAAGTACTAAATATAACATGGCTCGGCTTCTCCCTCAAGTGATAAAGAGCTGTACGTTTAAAATGACATCGGATTCCAGCTCTCTAAAACAAAAAAAAAAAAAGGAAGAAAGAAAGAAAAGAAAACCCTTAAGAAAGACACTAGAGAAAGAAGGACTCTTGCCAGTGGTCTCATCACAACAGAAAGGAAATGCCATAAATATGGCAAAGCATAGTCATGATAAAACAAAGACTCTGCAAGAGGAACCCTGGATCACCAATATCTTCATTTTCAGTGTGTGACAGATCATATTCTTGCATCCCAGTTTCAAATTTGATGGAGGGAATGAAAAAATGAAAATTTCTTTTCCTTGAAAAGACAGTCTTTATATACGCATTCAAAGGCCCTATATAAATATAGATGCTATGCATCTTAGTGTATATATATGTATACATATGTGTGTGTATACATATACACACACATATGTGTGTGTATGTTATCCCATACAGATTTATTGGCCCTAATGGGGATAGAAAAACATGATTAATGAAGTCAAGAGATTTTAGCATGAAGATTCCAGGTCATAGTGATTGTAAACACCACAGATTGAAGTGATACACACACAAAAACATATTATTACATATATATGGACATATATGTAGGCATTATTACATATATGTTTGTATTATATCTATAGCTATGGATATAAGTATAGCTATGGATGGAGATAGGAATAGAGATAGACAGATATAGATAAAGATAGATACAGATGTAGATATAGGTACACATATAAATATGTTGCTTAATTCCCTGCTGTTTACAATCACTGTGATCTACAATCTTTATGCTAAAATCTCTTGACTTTGTGAATTATATTTCACTACTACCACTGGGGCCAATAGGCTTATTATAGTATTCCTCAAAAGATTTTAGTGGTGGAAAGAGGGACGGGAGAGGGTTATAGTGGTTCAGTTATGTTTGGGAGAGTGAATTTGTACTTCCAAATTAACATTGCTTTGAAGATTTTATAGAGAAAAGTCAAAATGTACAGCCTATGAACACTTCCAAAGCAAATAAAAATTGCATATAATAATAGGAGATGTGATGCGACGAGGAAACCAAAGGCAAGTTCCTTAGCATCTCGGTGCCTTAGAGAACTTTTTAAAGAATGTAGGTCTCATGCCAAATCTGCATTTGTGGAAGGAGTTTCCATAAGGGAAGTTCCCTACATAGGTGAAAATTACAAATCTGAACCCTAAAAGAAAACAGAAAGTAATAAATTGTGTTTCAAGATTGCTACTTTGATTTGTTTGATTTAAATAAGATAGGCCCTATTTTTGGAGACTAAGATTGGAAGGGATTAGAGGCCATATAGTCTATGCTGTTTGTGCAAAGACTTTGAAAGCTCAGCACCTCAGAAGATAGAGCTCATTGAGGTGCAGGCAAATGTGATCCGTTCTATCTTCACAAAATATGGATGGAAGGAAGAAGTCAATATCTTGCCTGAAGTAGGGAATGAAAAGACAAAATTGTATTTTCTAATCAGAGACAGGGAACTGAAGGGCCTTTGGGTTAGAGGAAGGCTGTCGGTGGCAAGTTACTTACTGTCTGGATTGTATCTCTGGGCTTGAGTGTGGGCAGTATAAGGAACATTGGTTCTAGAGTCAGGGGACCTGGGTTCAAATCTTACCTCTGATGCTTATTATCTGTGTGACTTTGGGTAAGTCATACATGCTCCCTAGACTCCAGTTTCTCCTAAAAGGAGAGTGGATAGACTTAATTGGCTTCAGAGGTTACTTCTAACTCTAGATCTATGAATTGTAAGCCTTATCACATTCATATGGCTCCCTGGAATTTGTTTTGAAGATTACCTAGTTGGAAAGGTAAAAGTTGTCCTATTAGTTTATCCAGAAACAATGCCGTAATTTATCCCTTTAAAACCAAAGAAGTGAATCTCAGGAAAAAAGTAGACATCCTCCCTGCCATGCTATCAATTTTATTAAAGGCGTTTAGTGGTACTTTATGGTTCTTAGGGTTTGCAAGCAAGAAAAGAAAACAAGATAGAAGAAAGTTCACTACCCAGATTCAGGTTATTCTCATGGATCAGCAGGTCTCTGTTTTTCTTGTAGACTCTGAGGGTTGGCAAGTCACCCATCCCAGAACTATCAAAGCCTCAAGTAACTTTACAATTATTTCTTTATTTTTTTTAACCCTTACCCAGGATGTCACCAAAAGTTATGAGTTAACAGGTTGGAAATTTTCTTTTAAAGAGCCTAAAAAAGAGTTATTCTGTATACATTTTTTTTTTGCAAAGTAAACATTTTCTAAATGAGGTAAATTGATTACAACACTCTTAAACATCCATCAGTCATTTATTTTTAGTGAGCTCAAGCATCGCACCTGAGAAATAGCTCAGAGGAGATATGTACAAATCTAAATCATGTGTGTATGTATTTTTGTATTTCTCAGTGGAATCAACAAGCCCCAGTCTACTAACCACTGACAACACCCTTGAGCGCTCCTTTTTCATCCGAATGAAATCGACTCTGACCAAGCGCGGAGTTCACATCAAATCGTCAGGATATAAGGTAAGCCTGGCTGCAGATTAAGAGACATTTCTATCTCTAGTCAATCCTATGTCATTTGTGGTTGGTTTTTCTTGCTGTTGTGGATACATATTATATGCCTGGTCTTGAATGGCACAAAAGCTTTTTAATTATACTCCAACCTCCCTTTGGGGACTCATTAGACCAGTCAGTCTCACTTCAGCCTTTGCTGTTATATTGAAGTGCCCCATGTAATGCCCTTTCTTAAAACACTTCTCAATGATAGTCTCAATACTATAGAGAATAATGGGAGTGCAATTTAACAGAGAAGGTAAGCTCAATTAATATCATTCTTTTAGGTCACTGTTACAAAACTGCTGCTCTTGGGAGGAGGCCAATTCCCACCTTCTACTTCTCTTACCACTTTGTTGTTGTTTGTTTTTAATAAATATTATGCCGATGCCCCTTTTTGCATTGCTATCATTTCCCACACTCAAAGCTAATAGACCCCTTCTCTTGTAACAAACTATGCTAAAGCAAAACAAATCAACATATTGGACACATCGGACAATATATCCTCATCACATAACTAGAGGCTACCACTTTTCTATCCAGGGGCCTCTCATTTACTTATCACAGTAGAGAAAAAAGCTCTACAAAGAAAGGTTTACTGTTCTAATAATATCCTGGTGCTGTAGGAAGTCACTAGGGCTCTTTGGCTAAAACACTTTGCATGAACTTCTGTGCATGCACACCCACACACATAAAGAAGATAATTATCTGGGAGTTGGAAAATACATTTTGAAACTATCATTAAACATTCCATAAAAGCCCGCAATGTGCTGTTGAACTGTGTTCAATAAACTTATAAACTTTAGATGTGACCTCTACCATTGTGACAAATGCATGTGAAGTCATAGTGATCATTCTTATTGTTTTAAAGTTAAGACTAGGAGGATTCTGAGCTTAGGAAATTCAAACATTGCAGTTACCATAGCAACATAAACTAAGCCTACCTAAATACCTGTGAAATTTATGAGATGCCTTTGGCAACTTGAATGGTATCTAGTTTGACAACACCTTCACTGGTATCTTGCATTTTAGAGGTCAAACAGAAAGTTCCATGATATGGATATGCCCAGTGTCATCTTTCTCAATTTCAGAACTTGATGACTACTAATACCTCAGTTCTGTAAGCTCAACATAGCATAGTGAAGGATTTTACTTTCAACAGATCATTATTATCAGGAATTAAGATTTACTATCCAGGACTCAGAATCTGGCTCTATCCTTGAACTTCAGAAGATGAAGAAAGGGAAAAAAAAGGTGATAAGTTTCATGGATGGTTAGAACTCTGCCTTTAACAGGGCCAGCATAAAATCTGGCTAGCATATGTGGAACAGTCTTAATCTCTAAATGACTGAAATTTAACATGAGCTCAACCTTTACAAGGTCAACTGAACTAGATGTAGCTCTTATAGACATAATCTTGGAGTTTCATTTTGGCTTGGGAAGAGAAAATCATAATTTTTTCTTTAGGGACAATATGAAAGTTTCTTCCTTTGATGTTAACTGTACCTCTGCCCAACTAAGTTTTTAACATTAACGAGTTTGAAATTGTATACAAATGGGATTAGTGCTATTGAAAAGTGCTGTGAGGGCAGGAAAAAATGCATTGCATACCTTTCAGCAAGACAGTAACCCATCCATCACTTTCCATGTTGGAGAACTCTATTCCATATCCTTCAGTAAATTGTCACAGAAAGTACACCTAAGGTTCCTATAGATTTCTTAGCATGGTGGAATACCTATGGGGAGTAAAAAACTGTCCATTGGTTAACTCTTGTTCTCACTATGTGACTGATCCGTTGTTTTGGCCAGTAAAGCATTTCTCTGTGAACTAGAATGTATAAAACCGAAACACTGCACAATTAATACTGGAGATATATGAGAGATTCTCAATGTTCTCTTCCATCATGAAATGATAGAATTTCTCTTATTGTTCCAAACCCATCCTGATAGTTGGAAATTTCCTAAGGTTACTTCAAAGACTTTCAGTATCTTGTCTTGTTGCTCTGAAAACGATATCACACCCAGCTTGTTGAGACTAAGTCCTTCCAGAAAGCCTTTTTATAAAGAAACTTCAGGCGTTTTTTTTTTCCCTTAACATCATATAAATCCCCCACGCACATCAAATTCCCTATTTCCCCTCATTCCCATCCCCAAATGTCCCTCATTAATTAACCTGATTTGGATTAGTGGCAGGGTTGGTGAGGCCACACTGACATGACACAGCTAAATAACATTGCTATTTATCTGCTCATTCTCAGTAAGTAAATCTTGGGGCATATAAAACATTCAAATAAAACTGGTAATCACCCTGCCACCACATAGTAAACACAAATAAAAAGAAACAACGATGATAATTTCTCTGTGCTCACTACAATTTATTACCCCTGCACTCTAAGTTTTTTTTTTCCCTTGAAGAGACAAGATGTGAAGCACTGCCCTATGAGAATAATTTTTGCCTTCAACTTTTACTAGGGACTTTCCAGATTTAGTGTTTTTCATTTTCTTTTCATCCCTTTTTCTGTCTTTTTCTTCCCTCTATTTCTTTCTGTTCTTAGTAAATGTTATTCAATCTTTGTTTTTTCACTACAGTCTTTGGAAGTAGGTGGTACAAATGGTATCAGCTTCATTTCACAGATGAGGAAACTGAGAGTCAAAGAAGTGACTTGCCTGGTAAATATCAGCTATGAAATTCACAAACTCTGGTCTCCTGACATCAAGGCCTTTGGGAATTTTTCTTCCTTGTTTAGTCACTTTTGGTCATGTCCAACTCTTCATGACCCTATTTGGGGTTTTCTTGGCAAAGATACTGGAGTGGTTTGCAATTTCCTTCTTCAACTCATTTTACAGATGAGGAAACTAAGGCAAACAGGGTTAAGTGACTTGCCCAGGGTCACACAGCTAGAAAGTGTTTGAGGCTGGATTTGAACTCAAGTCCTCCTGACTCCAGGTCAGCACTCTATCCATTCAGCCACCTAGCTGCCCCTTAGTTAATGTTAGTTTCTCTCATTTTCCAACGGGATTGTGGGGGAGGGAAAGGAAAAAAGCCCTCTCACCAATGTCCCATCCCATAATTACTTTAGTGAGAAGTTCATTATTTTAAAGTTAATATGTTCCTCCCTCCCCAGAATTAGCCATATATTTAGTCTTTTCTCATGGTATCATACTTCTCTCTCCAAACCTTTGTACAATTAATCATCATAGCTAATCCCTTTATTTGTAACCTTGAAATCATTCCATCTCATCACCTATAGAACTTCACTATAGCAATCTTATACCCTTTCATATATCTTAAACCTCTCCTTCTCCATTAACTCCTTCCCCTCAACATAGGATCATAGGTCTATTACAGATGGAAGACAGGTTGGCAATCAATCCACTCATTTTGCAGATGAAAAATCCAAGTCTCAGAGTTTAAGTGGCTCGTCCATGGTCATACAGCCAGTAGGTATTAGAGACAGAATTTTTATCTGTATCACTTTACTCCAAATCCTAAGTTCTTTCAATTAAACTATGTAGCCTTTCTGCCTCTCTCTCTCTCTCTCTCTCTCTCTCTCTCTCTCTCTCTCTCTCTC